ACGCTGCAAAACAAAACCTCAAAACAGAACTGGGAGGAAAAAAAAGCGTTCTAGCTTTACCTACCCAGCACTCAACAATCACACCAGCAAGCATTAACGAAAATAAGCATTAATGTCTCCCAAAGTCGCACAAAACGAAAATGTATCTAAAACGCTATTAACTGAATTATAATTACCGCACATTATATATATAGGAGAAAACTTAAGTATGTCAGTCCTAGGCCTGGCTAAGTAAAAAGTTGAACTAGATCGAGACGCTAATCTAGGAACTAAGACGTTAAGTTGTTCTAAGATGACACTGGAGTCAATAATGCCATGGATGAGCTTGTGAGTGAACTTAAGTGAATTCATTTTGCGTCTGCTCTCTTAGGCCCGTATCGTCAGTCGTCCCTAGAATTGTAGGGTGCGTTTATGGCCTCCTTGATTGTCATACTCCATTCTCTCCTTCAAAAATTTCTAGATTACACTTGTCCCGTGGCAGCATCAGCGCTCTCCTATTATGAAGATATGTTTTATTTTTAAATTGTAGGAAATTTGAGGCTGATAAAACATGATATAACTCAAAAGCAAGCACAATTTGATACAAATAGATGTTTGTGACATAACCTCAAAATAGAGCGCGGACACGGAGAAGTAGAAAACTATGACAATCAAGGAGGCCATACAGGCCCCCTACAATTGTAGGGACGACTGACGATACGGGCGTAAATTATAGATTTTTTGTCTCATTATCAACTCACTATGAGGAAAGCCAATATCAGGATATATCCCGTCTGCTTTGTATGAGAGGTATTTTAAAAACTTTCTTTGAACGGACTCTAAGCGGTCAATATATATTTGATGATGAGGATACCATACCAGGGACGCATACTCAAGCTTAGATCTTACATAAGCATAGTACAGTATTTACAGTGTAAAGGAGTTGTGGAAATCACCAGTATGTCTTACAATAAAACCATACGCCTTTGATGCAGCCGCAACAGCATTTTCGATGTGATAGGAGAAGGAAAGTTTTCTGTCAAATGTGACTCCCAAGTGAATTATTGTATTAGGTCTGTCAAGTTTTCTTTTACCAATACTACATATATTCGTACATCATTACCTCTGTTTTTAAAGTAAACGACAAAACGTGATACTTAGCAGCATTCAAAGCCAGTCTGTTTTCACGACACCAGTAGTCAACCCTTACAATGTTGCATTACAAGCGATGACAGTCGTTAATGTTAGAGACTCTACAGAAAAGTTTCATATCGTCAGCATACATATATAAGAAAATCGACATCGATAACTTCAGAAATATCATTGTAGAACATAATAAATAACAGAGGTCCCAAATTAGATCTTTGAGGAACACCGGACATTACAGGGTATTCGCTTGACTTATCTCCATTGCACATAACATACTGTTGCCTATGGAATAAATAAGATCTGAAAAATAGCAACAATGCATCTGAAAGACCAAATCTAGATAACTTATTGGGTAGGATGTTATGATCTATCTATCATACGCGTTAGAGAAATCAGTATATATTACATCCCTTTGTAGTTGTCTATCGATTGATTCACAAACATATTGAGTAAGATGTAGCAAATTAGTAACTGCTTTATGAAACCGTGTTGACTGATGAAGATAGACTTGCTTACATGGAAATATATCACAGTTTGTATCACTATTTCGAATGTTTTAGCGAAATTACTGATAATTGTGATAGCCCGATAGTTTTCTACTTTATTCCTCTCACCTTTTTTAAAAACAGGAGTTACCCTAGACAACTTCCAAATAGATGGAAAGTGATTATTTTTCAGAGAGAGATTGAAAATGATCATGAGTGGACATGCTAAAATGGACGCACAATCTCTCACAAAAATTCAGGTATTTGATCAGGCCCTGCAGTCATTTTTGGCTTAATTTTATTGAGCGCCTGTAGCACATCGATTTCCTGTACGCTAGGCATAGCTAGTGTAGTAGTGAAATGGTAGTCAGTAGAAAAATCAGATTGAGCTGTTGGAGTATTATCCTTCCACTAAAATGTTCCGCAAATGCGCCAACTACATCATTAGGTGTATTTAACCCCCGCCCATTGAACAGCATATCCTTCGGAATACCAGTGCAGTTTCTTTTTCTATTAACAAAAGACCAGAATTTGCCGGAGCTGTTGGGTATTTCACTCTCTAAAGAGTGAATGTAGCGTCGATATGAAACAGCTACATGATAACAGCGATATCGTAACATGCTTCGGAGATCTATACTCTAGTCAGGAAAAAGGTATACAAAATTACTCTTTTCATGCCAACAGTATCTAGAGTGTTAGAGCTCTAGTTAGACACCTACCTCACCTCATGGTGACTTTGTCAGCATCTATAGCCGAACTAAAGGCCGCAACTGACTGAAGCCGTGCGCTGTAATATAACGTTCACATTGAGCGGTACATTACAAAGTTTGTGTTTTGAGCCCAGCAAATGTTGACTTGGAATGCTCGGCTCAACAGTGCTCCACAGTTCACTAGTGTAGTCTGTGCCGAAATGTCAGACCTAGAAGTAACTAGTGTTGCGTTCAAAATCGAAAAAATCTACACCTTGCGATGATCTTTTGGTTCCCGTTACTACGAATTTAAATTTTTGATCAATTTTGTTTTAATTATGTAATTCTGAATAATGTTGCTGTTAATTGTTGCCTAAAATTTAACGCTAGCTGCTTTACTTTTCTCCCAAACAAGTATTTGAATTCAAAGCTTTCCTCAATTTTGTTGATTGTACTGAAAAAAAATCTACTACGTCTGGAAAGTACTTTCAAAAATTTTCTCATTTAATAAGGATTCCAAAACGGTATGACAATTGCTAGATTATTTCTTGAATTATTGACAATTTTAATGTTTGTAAAAAATCTCAGTTTTCCACATTTTCTCTTAATTACTTAAAATTAGTATAGTGTACACAAGGTTTTCCTCCGGCCGTAACATTAAGATTATAGTTTGAGTGAGAAAGAGAGAGTTATACGGTTATAGTGGATGCGTATTCTGACGAACTATCATTCTGACGAACAAGTAAGAACTCGCACGAACAAATCAACAAATACAAAGGCAATGATTGTGGCTATACTGTATGCGGATCGATCGTCAGGTTACACACGAATACGTCAGAACAAGCTGGTCGTTCAAACAGTTTTGATTTTTTGATGTGAATTGTTGCGATTTGTTTAATATTTTATTTTTACAAATATGGATGTCGAAAAACATATAAGTTTAGTTTTTGAAAATAGAAGTTTATGGGATATGCAGCAAAAAACTACCATAACAGGGATATTTCTCGCCAAAAATGGGAAAAAATTGCTGGAGAAATGGAAAGTAATGGTAAGTAAATTTATATCAATATTCTATTTGTTTACATTACATTTTTAAATACGTTACAAAGCTTTTTTAGTAAAAATATTACATTGGAATTGTACTTCGCCTTCGGGGCTGAAAAAGTAATTTTTGAAAATGTCTCTTGCTTGACTGGCTGTTGCTCCATAATGGTTGTAGCGTCTTGAAACAGATATTTTATCGTTGTGTATACTCACTTCAGGGTGTGCTGGAACCTCTTGATTGTCAATGAGTATATTGTGCAGTAGGCGTGCTGCTTGGACTAAAATGTCTACGTTCTCGGGATTCATTTGCAATTCGGTTTTTAAAAATCTCCACTTAGCTACTAGTATACCGAATGCGCATTCAATGCAACGTCGAGCTCTAGAAAGACAGTAGTTAAAAACTCGCTGTTCATTTGAGAGATTTTGTCTAGAATATGGCTTAAGTAAATATGGCTTCAGTGGGTATGCTTCGTCACCCAATATTACAAAAGAAGCTTTGATTTCTGTTGAGTGCAAATATTCAGGGCTTGGCATATTGAATGTGTTCGTCTTTAAACACTTGTAGACATTGGAGAGAGAAAATATCCCTCCATCGCTTTGCTTTCCGTAAGCACCAACATCAATAGTCACAAACGTGTAATTTGCATCAGCTATGCCTTGCAACACAATGGAAAAATATTGTTTATAATTATAATTTATCAAACCCGAGTTTTTAGGACATTTTATTCGAATGTGTTTACCATCTATGCAGCCGACACAATTAGGGAAATTCCACGCTTTGAAGTAGCCTTTTGCGATGCTTTGTAACAAATCGGTTGTAGGAGCCGGCATATGTTTATTTCGAAAGCTATTCCATATTGCAAGACAAGTCTCATAAATTATCTGCCGTATTGCAGTATGTGAAATTCTGCATGAAAAGCTTAATGATCTAAAGGACATCCCAGTTGAAAGATACCTGCAACAAAAGAAATAATAATGATATTAAAAAAAAATACACAGTTTCCTGGATAAGAATGGATTCTACAGAGATCTTAATTTGAGAAAAGCGTATATTAAAATTAGGAAAAAGTTGCACCCTACTGAACCCGCTAATATGATGTTTTCATATTTTAAAAATTCGAAACCCTCGGGAAGATATTCGAAAAAAAAGTCACGATTTCGAATAATTTACAAGAACGTAGACTTCATATCCGGGGTACAGGATATGCCAGCATTTATTTATATAAGTTTTTTTTTTCAGTCGAAGCCGTGAAAAATAAGTGGCGTGGTTTGCGAGACACCTTTCGTAAAGAGCTAAACAAGTTACCGAAAACACGTTCTGGTCAAGAGGGAGGACTAGCTAAAGAATCAAAATGGCCGTATTTTCAAAATATGCTGTTTTTAAAAGACTAATTCACAGGTATAAAATTACAGAGCAGTATTTTGGAGCCGGAAGTAAACGCTCAATCTGGAAACGATGATGAAGAACCTGATGATTTACCGGAAGATGATTTTGTTGTCGAAACTACTAAAAATGCCGCCGTTGATCAAAATGCAGCACGGAATGTAGAATTTAAAAAAAAACATTGAGTCTCCCCAGTTTGTCTCCCCTCAAAGCAAACGTATAAAAAGTGTAAAATCTAATACCAAATCTAATGCAATTCAACAACTTGTGATGATCGAGCAGGATACGTTAAAAGAGTTTAAGCGAAAAAGTGAAGTGTGTAATCAAGCAAAAATTCAAGAGGATGCTGACTATCATTTTCTGATGAGCTTACTCCCCTATCTGAGAAAAGTCCCTGAAGAAGGAAAACTGGATGTGAGAACTAAGTTACAACAGGTATTCTGTGATGAACAGAAATTGGCACAGCAACGACCATACGGCAATGACTTAAATTCAGATTCACAGCACCAATCTACTTTTAACAGGCACTCATCAGAGTTTCCGCATCATCCTATAGTAAATTACGATGGGTCTCCACAGTTCACAAATCTTTCTGCGCCAACTAGTGGACAAACTGGTTCCATGGAAAATTATCTCAGCTCCTCAGAATCAACGATTCCTTCTGGGCCAAGTAGTGAAGAAAGTGCTATTCACCAGCAGTATGGAGACATAGCTTCATATTTTTCACAAATCAGCCCCCGAAAATAAATCCTTTCCGACTTTGTTTTTCTATTAGCTTTGGTTTAAAATAGTTATTAAGTTCAAATATATAATAATAATAAAGTAGGAACATTAAAATAATGTGCACTCTTACCTTAATGTTAACGCCAGTCTCTCTTTAGCAGATATGCATTCACAAAAATTTTATTGCTTGGTGATACCTTCTTAGATTCCTTTTAGAATATAATGAAATGTTTCTGGTAACATTCTGAAGTACTCAAAAAAATTATTTGGTTGCTCCAACAAGTCTTCAAATAACGACTGGTATTCTCTATTAAGGGATCTTGAACTAAATATTTTATTCACATGTTCCGTTTTATCCGTCATAAGGAGGATTTTTAATAAAGGGCTTTCTAAACATTGCCACTCGTATGATAAATTCTCATTGTCATCCATCTTTAAATATCTGTACAAACTAGAACTTATGCATGCACTATAACCACCAACATCAGACCAACAATTATGACGGGTTCGTCAAAACGATAGTTCGTCAGAACACGCATCCACTATAACCGTAGCCTTAGTGATTCACTAGCAAATTTTTGTGTTACATTACAGCGTTCGGATTGAGTCAGTCGCCGCCTTTAGACAATGCAATGTATAGCAGCCAATATTTTGGCCTCTACGATCACTAGTCAGCACTTCAGGGACCTACTGTGTATTCCAACAGCATATTTTGGCTAGAGATGCTGGTGACGTCAGCATGGCATCCTGGAGGAAGAGAGTAAAGGTTTGCGGCCGATCAGTTGCCTAGCATATAGGTGTTACAGTTGCCGTAATAATTGACTATAATCTGAAACATCTTATAAAGAGGAGTGGTATCACTAATGATGATTCGTGGAGGAATATGGAGAAATACAATAATTTTAAGCATGTGCGATAAGCAAATTTTGGTTGTCTTTTATTGCACTTTATGAAAACAGACATATCAAAATGCATGGCAGTAATGGGCAGTTAAGCTTAGGCGTGTTTATTTCCCACGCCCGTCAGCGAAGAAATATTGCAATCGCATAAAAATTCGAAAATATTTATTGGATCTTATATGACATGTAAAACAACCATGCCACTCACTTCCGTCGGTCTGTCTGTCTGCTGGTCTGTCCGTCAGTCTGTCTGCTAATCACTTGGACAGTACTGCTGGGATTTGGATGAAATTTTTACACAAGGTTACTACTATGCCAAGGGCGTATCAGAGGATACTGAACATTTTTGAAAAAAAAATTAGGGGCCCCAAGTATCATCTCAAGCAGCGGGGCTACCGTGTACGGTAACATTTCTCATCACTGCAATCTGAGGAATTGTTTTCCATGAAAAGCCCATATAGTGCATTACTGACTCTGACTGACAGAAAGAATAGAGTCCATTTGCTTGACGCCAATTTTGTGATTAGGCATACGTCCAAGCTTCTCAAATTAGTCATGCATAGCGATTTTGAGTGTATCTTTATAAGCACTCAGGAACGTCATGCTCCATTCAACTTTCGAACAATAAGCACTTCAATCCAACATTGTGGCTGTAGATGTTCGGTTATTGTCCGTATTACCGGACCTCTTCCAGAAATAATATCGTAACACCTTTGTCGGGGTTTGCGTCAATTCTAATCTCACCTAAGTATTATTTATGTAGAATACATTTTGTTACTTTCCTGGTGCTGTATTTATGTTCAGGTTAAAATGGAAAAACTTCAGGCGACAGGATAACAAAGGGAAGAAGCTTGTTCAGGCGCTATTAGGCACACCCAGGAACCAAGAGTTATGTCATGCTGATTTCGCGCTGCCATACACAAAAGACCTTTTTAGTGATACTGATTTCCATTGGACTATGAATTTGTTCAGAGGAGTCAACCGCATTCACTAAAGTATCAACATGTTATGTTTACTTCCTCGGTAATTAATAGTTATATTCACCATTCAGAAAGAACGGTTTATTATAAACAGCTCCATTTAACGATTGTACTCCTGGTGCTACCAACTTTATATTTCTGTTAAATCCGTCAGAAGTGGAGTTTATAGTTGATGCAAAGAAATAAAAAATACGAACAGCGGTAAGAAAATTGGAGGAAAACGGTCTGCTAACTTTTCGCATCGAGAAAAAGAAATGCTGATATAGTCGGTAGAAAAGTATAGTTGAGAACTGGAAGGCAAACGCAATTTTTAATACAGAGAATAATAATTGACGAAAAAAATCTCGAGCGTTCTTATAAATATTGGACTCGAAGAACTTGAAATTGTTTCCAGCTTTTGTTTCAAATCTATGAACAGAGAATGATTTCATCTAACTTTCGCGATGCTGTCGAGCATCGTTTTCAATTGCAGAGTATGTTACAGATGATGGAGGAAACAGGAATCGATATCTGTCAATCCGTCCCATCCATGTTTGAATTACAAAAATACTGTAGCAATATAAATAAGTACCTTTATATGTGAAATATGAGATTTCACTGAGACTGGAAGTAATTCATTTGAAATAGGCCAGGGTTTTTAGGCCTTTTTCTAAAAATATGCGCCCTGCATTTTCCAGCATGTAACGTCCAATAGTAGTGACCTGTCTTGAAATGCTTGTGAACGGCCTTGATTGAACAATACAGAATACCTGCGAAGGGCTTGGTGGGCAAAAACTTTACTTCAACCTCCGCATTTTTACCAGACACGTATTATTATGATTGAGAACCTATATTTCACTTTCCGCCTGCGGCAGAGCTCATCCGAAGTGTCATTTTCTCCTCTGGACATTTTCCCACCTCGGCGCCTTGCCCGCAGCCAACCCAAACAAAGAACAGACAGCGAGACCCCTGTAGGGTAAAAAAGTGGCCCACATAAATAACCACAGGTGACATTAGCATCGACGTTAACGCCGCCAAGGATATAAAAACGTTAATATTCTGGAAAGGATTGAGATAATGGACAAAAAATGTCACAATGCTGGGCATTGGCGTGGATAGTGTTAGGATGTCAATTTCATCCCCCTCCACATAAAAAGTGGGTCGGAATAGTTTCCACGCAGGACAAGATTAATTTAATGCAGGTGCTCCGCAGGGATCGGTTTTCAGACAAACGTGGTTTATGTTTGTTCTACATCATCGACGTCATTTATTTCACGAAAGTGTCTCTTATAATTGGTGGCAAACTGTTATGTAGATCACTATTAAGTTTAGGCAGAAAATATTTTAATTTGTAATTTACTAAACGTAGTTATATAAAAAAATAGCGACAATTAGGTTACCTCTGGACTGTCCACGCCACGTCATCTTTCATAAAAAATTAACTGCAGGACATGTCAGATCCTCTAAGAAATAAGTTGGGTCCGAGCATGTACAACATAGAAACTAACGGATCAGGTCAGCAAAACAGGCTCATACAATTAATCCGTAGACATTCCTTCCTTGCCCTGCCGGTAGTACTCACCGGTAATCTGCCTCTCCCCGATAACGGATCGCACGATGTGCCAGTCGCGGCTTCGCGGCACACCTCCAGTCATGCGAGAACACTTATGGAGACCGGCACGGCCGTCGGTGAAGCCAGAAAGCACACACAGGAACGCGTATCGTAAATATTTCTTTATCGTTCTAAGGTTTAAGGGCAAATGTAAGAGAGTATTACCGAGGTTGTACTCGCATAAGTACAGGGTATGTTATTTTCCTAGAGTGCACTGTTTCCGTAAAAATAAAAATAAAACAAATTAGATCATTCATGAAGATCCGAGATACAATTAGTTTCAAAATAAAATAGGAGGCCTTGATACCAACTTGACGTCTCTTTTTTTGTAAAAGTCATGTCAAGAGCTTCTTTTTTCCATTTTTAAGCGTTGTTAAATGGAATTTAGCAATGATGAGTACGCCAATATTATTTTTGTGTACGGGTTCTATAATGGAAATGTCTTAGCGGCTTCTCGGGAGTATCAACAGATGCCAACCTACCCAAAGGTTTTTACGCATTCATTTCTAAGACTTCGGCAATCTGGAATTGCCAAACTCGTTTCAGCACAGACATTCTAGAAATGTCTGGTGCGGTATTTTCAGCGGCCAACTTCTTATGCAGGTATGCCACAACGTTTAAATGCAAACTCGTACTTAGCTTTTCTAGAGAGCAACGAGAGTACGAATGTGGTATCAGCACGAGGGTGCCCCACCGCATGTTCGTCGTGATATAACCGCATGGTTAAATAATCATTTTAGGCAACGATGGATTGGCAGAAACGGATACGAACATTGGCCTGCTAGGTGTCCTGCTTTGAACCCCATTGATTACTTTTTCTAGGGCGCTTTTAAACAACTAGTGTATGCTGAACAAGTTAATACTATTGATCAGTTACAAGAATGAATAGATAATGCGTTTCATTAAATGCGAGCAACAACAAATTTTTTGGAAATACGTATTTTTTTATTAAAAAGATGCCGTACTTGTATCCGTCAGAGTGGTGGCCTTTCTGAACATTTATTGAAATAAAGCTTTGATTAATTAATTTGTTATTTTTTTATTTTCACGAAAACAATGTGTCTAGGAAAAAACAAGGGTAATTATTTGTAGCAAATTGAAGGTGAAACTCGTAAAATTGCACGTTTCGAAAAAAAAAACCGTAGCCAACTAGTTTTTTTTAAATACTGCCACTAATCCCCTGTATCTCCGCCTCTGGTGCACGTTAATTCCAAGTAAAAACTTTTGGATGTGGCCAATACTTAGGTAAGTCCACATACCAAATTTTAGTCCATTCCTATTGACGGTTTTGAAGATACTAAATAACCCGTTTTTTATTTTCAAACTTCCACACCCCGTATTTTTTTAATGAAGCCCTCGAGGAAAAAATGGTACATAGAAGACCCTCTTTAAATGCGATCCTGTATATAGTGCTTCATTTTTTGGTCACGACTTGTGAACCACCCTGTATACTGATCTAAAAAAAATGAGATATGCTGTTCCCCATCTCTTCCAACTCCAACCCCCTAATTTTAACTACTACAAATTTTTCTAAATGTGACAGGATCCTCTGAG